GGAATTTGCCTTTTGGGAAATTTAGGGGCAATTTTTGTTTTTACTCGAAATCTATATTTTTCATGAAAATTTATGTAAATCTACAAAAATTTTAAATTTTGGGCCCATACAAAAAATTTCCCTCAAAGGGAAATTTTTATTCTCCGGAATTTTAAGGAACTCTCTAAATTTTTAGAGGTTTCAGAAAGAGATTCTCCATTGAAAAGTAACAAAAAACTACAAAATATATATTTTTTCATTAATTTCCCATTGGAGGCTCATTTTGGAGTTTTTAAAATTCAAGTCTCATAATTCCAATCCCCCACTGTATTTCTATATGCATTTTTTCTAATATATTTCTTGTTTTTGTTGTTATTATTGGAAGTTGTTGTTGTTATTTTTTTCTCCGCTTCTAATTGCGTTTAATGTTAAGTGGTAAAACTTGAACTCAAAAGTCAAACACACTGCAACAGCAACAAGGCAACAAATGCTAAAATGCTGTTGGCTAATTGAGCTGCTGAGACAGGAAAGGGAGAGATAGAAACACACACACAACATCAAATGAAAAATCAATCAAAATAAATTGCCAAGATATTCTAATAATTTTTAATTAGCATTACAACATATTATTTTTAATTAACCTTGCAGGTTGTTCGGAATAAAATTTATGAGAAATTTAGAGAAAAAAAAAAAACATTACAAATCAAAACTAACAGATTTTTAATTAAATACTTTATTTTTGAAAAGGTAGGAGGCAAAGTCTCAAATTTATGAGTTGGATTGGAATCAGTTGCTGAGTGAAAAAATTTAAAATAAAAGGAAGAACCAAAAAGTTGTCCCAAAAAGGCGTTTTAGAATGGGAATGAGGTATAAAAATAATATATTTATATTCCCCCCCTCCATCCCCGTTTTCTTGACCCCTTTTAGTTGCATTTTTTTTCTGCCTTCCTGTAAAATATTTTTAATTTTTGAAATTTTCTTTCGTTAACGCAATCAATTTGACGTTTATTTGCATTTCTGTAATTTTAGTATTTTTTTGCCTCTTGTTGTTGTTGCCTTCCTTATAATATAAACCATAATGGCTGACGCCTTAAAGGCCGCCTATTTTTAAAATAACATGTGCAATTTTTATTTTTTTTTTCGTTCTTGTTCTTGGGCATAGCAGCATTGCTATTTAACACCAGCATGCAGTTGTTGTGGGTCTTAAGAGCAACAAAAACAAACAAAAAAAGAGGAAAAACGGTGTACATTTTTTCCTTATTTTGGTGTGGATGGTTTTAATTTTAATGCACCATTCAACAGCAGCAACAACAACAGCAAAAATGTCTACAAAACAATTTGCGCATGGCGACGTTAACATTTGTAGGCGACAATTCATACAATTTCACCCAAACAAAGAGACATAGAGACTGGCAGGCGGACAGACATACGAATGCATGGATGGATGGCTGGCTGGCTGACTGGTTGGTTGGTAGGTTGATGGAACGGACGGACAGCAATTCAGAGCCTAAATTTTTATATTATGGCAAGGCAACACGTTCCAGTAAACTTCATTTAAACAAAACAACGCACTCACACACACACACTCTCAAAGAGAGGATAAGTGTTTTCTCCTCCATGAAAATAATTTCAAAAACTTGTCATGACAACAAACCACCAACCTCCCAGCAAAGTACCCCCTTCGTTATAGTAATGCACTCTAGTTTCTTTGCACACATTTGAATATACATATGTATATGTATGTGTCTGTATGTTCATACTCCTACGAGAAACCCTCAAGACCCTGTCGCTGCTCTGCTGAATGTTTATTACATTTTAAAGTATGATTTGAAATAAATTTGCTTTTAAATGCTATGCCAAGTTTAAACAAACAATCAACATATTTAGTTTTGGGACGACCCTCGCTACACCCGCCAAACTCCCTTCCTGCCCTCCTCCTGTCCCTTTAGACAGCAATGCAAAATAAACTAAAACACACTCTAGGTGTTGTCCCGTCTGCAAAGATACAACAGCACAAAAAAAAAAAACAGTCTAATGTCTTCAACAACACCAACGACAACAATGCAACGACGGTTCTACACCCCTGATGACAGGCCAACGACAAATATCATATCGCTCTTCCAACAACTGCATTTTTTTCAATTTTGTTTTTTTTTTTTTTTTTCGAACCATGTTATGACTGTCTGTCTGCCCTCCTCCGGGGTCTTGACGCTCGCTATGTAGATACATATGATGGGATTTTGTTGCTTTGCAAAAAAAAACGTAATTTTTGCATTTAACATATGTTTTTAACAGTGGGGATGGATGGATGGATGGTTGGATGAATTGTCTTTGCTCTTCAAAAAACCATATAGAGAATTGTTATGCAGTCATTCAGTCAGTCACTCACTTCATTAGACAGGGCAAGTCAATGTAGCCTTTCACATGCACAAGTATATAGACAGGGCAGCAGTAGTTGGTGTTGTTGTTTGTTCGTTCTTCTGTCTTAAAGGCGTGACAGTAATTAATTATTGTGTTGTATGGTAAATTAATAAATGAAATGGACTTTGTCTCAAAATGACATTCATATGCATTTCACACTTATGCTGTAATAATTAAAATAACAAAAAAAAGGAATGCAAAAACAAACCAAAAAAATGAACAAAATGTGGAGAAAACAGAACTCATGAAGAGGAGAGCTGGAGGAAATGGATGTCCAGAATGAATTAAAACAAAATAGTTTAAATAGAATATAAAATTGTGTGTTTGAATGCATTTAATTACTTAATTATTTTTGCCTAAAAATAGTAGAGGAAATTTCAAAAGAAAAATAATCACAAAAATTTGGAAAAGTAAAAGTGAAGCGAATGAAGTGCTACATTTGAAAATTTTTATCAATATTGGTCACATAAAAAATATTGCCTAAAAGTAGGCACAATGTTTTGTTAAGGCATTTTAAGAAAATTTTCAATTCTAAAAATAACAGAAACTCCATTAGTATGCTTCACAATTTTCAAATATAAATATTCATTTTAAGCTAAGTGCTTAATATTCTACCTGTGCTCAATACAAAAAAGCATAGATTCGATTACTACAATTTGAAGTAAATTGTAAATAATAAAAATCGCATCAACATTTTTCTTAATAATCTAAATAGAATATTGGTTCCTGGATAGTCAAATATGAGAAAGGTCTCCTAAATATATGCACCACCGTTTATATTTGATTTTTATTTTCAAATATTCATTTTAAGGAATTTGTTTCTTTTGGCACTTAATATTTGATAAAAAATGTTGAAATAAAAAATTACAAGAAATGGTTTTAACTTTAAAAGTTTCTCATGTTACTCGAGCACATTCATAGCCTAAAAGTATGCACCACTCCTTAATTATACAATTTGGGAAAAACTTGTGCACATTTTAGGCTAAAGACTTGTTGTTTAATTTAATTTAGTTTGTTGTTTAAGTCCAATATTAGGTAGTCTACTATTGAAAATTGTTAACCTCACAGTTGTTCATATTATTTGGGAATATGTGTAGCCTAAAAGCATACATCATTTCCTAAAAAATAAATTTTTTTTATAAAAAGACATTTTTAAATTATTGTTTCCATTTTATGCGTAGCCTAAAAGTATGCAGCATTTCTTAAAAAAAATATTTTTTTTTTATATAAAGACATTTTTAATTTATTATTTCCATTTTTAAAATATTCAGTTTTTTTACTTGAATGTTGCCTTCGAAAGCTTAAAAAGGATGCATTACCTGAAACGTTGTCTTCAATTAACATAGAACATCAGTAGCAAACAAGGCTTCAGATAATTCTGAGTATTGATGTAGTAAATAGGTTTTATATTGGCTTAAATGAGAAAAATTCTCTTCATATGGTTCCCGTAGTGTTATGTTAACCATAACCAGAATCAATAAGAAAGCGGAGAAGCCAGTACCTGGACTTATTGAGGCCATGAATAGAAAATCGTCCTGGAATGTCCACCCAACCAAAAACATATTCTTCAAAGCTTTCTATGATAGCCACCTAACTTGAGTATATATTTTTAATATTTCTGTTTTTTTTTTCTCCCCTCCCAAAAGTATGCCAGCTGTTTGATATTAATTTAGGTTCTTCTCATTTCTGTTACCAATAACTAATAACCAATATAACCACCTTCCATTTGCAATTGAATTTCCCTATCTGTAACAAAAAATCTAATTACATGGTGACCCTTTACAGAGAACCCCTTCAAACCTCGCTTTCATTACATGTTGTGCTTAAAACTTAATTTCCACTTTTAGTTTTCATGCTGCTCTACTCTTCATTATTATGGCTCATGAGTTTGTTGTTGTTATTATTATTATTGCTGTTTGTTGCCATTATCTTGGTGTTTTGTAGTTTTGTTTGATGGCTGACTGACTGAATGTCTTGAAATGCTGGTGAATGACGGCGAAAACGGCTTCGACGACGACGTCGACTAAGTCTCAATTCATTTTAAGAAAAGGGGGACGTGCCAACAGAAATTTCAAAGTCTTGAAAACAGAAACTTATTTCTTCAACATGACTTGGTTGGTTGGCTGGTTGATATGTTTGTTGGCGGTTTTAAGCCGCCCCAGCTGTCTGGCGGCTGTTGGATTGGTACGCAAGCGCGCATAACTACAACATGTATTGTTGCTGTTATTATTATGTTGCATTATTATTGTGTCTGCAGTAAAAGCCTGTTTTAGTTGCGTTCGTTCGTTCATTCTTTCTTTCTGTTTTTGGATAATTATAGGCTACTAAACGGTTAATTATCGACATTTAATATGGCAGTCGTTTTGTTTGGTTGGCTGGCTGGCTGTTTGGTTTGGTTTGCTTCGATTCCATTTGCCTTCATATGGCTTATTTTCACTACAGGTTTGTGTAATGCCAATGATGGAGGGTTAGGTTTGCAGTTGTTTTTTCTGTTTTTTTTCGTTGTTGTTATTTCTTTTTAAATACAAAATGGCGTTGCCTTTTTCTAGATGACTAGCAGTAGTGAGACATAATGCAAAAAAATAAAATATGTAACTTACCGTTAAATGCTGAAACAGCCACGCTCTTAAGATATTTGTTGCTACTTTTGGGAAAATGCCACGTTTCTTTTGGTTCTTTTTGCCATTTGCATCGTCATCCTCTTCACCCGTACCTTCCCCGCTGCCTATACTGGCATTGCTGGCATCGCCTGGAATAAATAGAGAAAAAATATGAATTTTATTTATAATAATAAAAAATGCTATTTTACTATATAAGAAAATAAAATAAAATAAAAAATAGATTAAAAAATAATTTAATAAATAAGAAATCAAATTTAGGAAAGCAAGATTTATTTCGTATTTTTTTTGTATTTTTAATAATAATATAAAATATAAAAACACACAATAAAAAATGCTATTTTACTATATAAGAAAATTAAATAAAAAAATATATATTTAAAAAAATAATCGAATAAATATAAAATAAAATTGAGGAAAGCAAGAGTTATTTCGAAATTTTTTGTGTTGTAATGATAAAATAAAATATAAAAAAAATTATAAAAATATTTTAAGCGAATAAAATAAAAATTAGGAAAACAAGAATTATTTCTGTATTTTTTTACAGGTATACATAAAATTTTTTGTTTATAATTTTTTCTGTTAACCCCCACATTTTCAATTTTGAGCCCTGCACTTTCCTTGCTGCAATGGAAAAACTCCATGTAACCAATATTTTTATGCTAAAGAGAGGAGTGAAAAAACACAACAAATTATGTGGCTGGCATAAAATGAAGGGCTTTTTGTTACATATTTTTTTGCAATAATATTTTTTTACATTTATTTCCTGCTGCGTTTGTGGTAACCGCAATGAATTAAATTGGGTTTTTCACAATAATGATGAGTGCCAGAATTTTTTACACCATGAGCATTTAACTCGTTATGAGGGTAGGGAAGGTTTTTTTTGACACGACTACAGTGGAAGCTCTAGAATACGAAATTTATATTCGAATGTAACTTCAGATGGAAAAATTTAATTTATATGAAAATCTTCTATGTTTACGTTGAGTCCCCACTATATCAAGGTCTTCATATTTGTAATAAAAAAGTTTGGAAAAAATTTGAATTTTTCTGAAATTTGTTTCTCTTTACATTCATCAAGCCCCCACTGTAGCTAGGTGCATTTATTTGTAATTATATATGAAAATATCATATATATAACCATAAATTAATCAGAGAAACAGCAAACTTCATGGAATGTAGCGAAAAAACTCAACAATTTTTATTATCCACTTTTTTCGCTGTTTGCTTTTTAATTAAAGCCAACAATATTTTTCTGCATTCTGGGCTGTTTTCTACTCTCTCCATCTTCTCCCCATGTAGAGGGGAAAGAGCTTCATATAACCCCTCCCCAAAAAGAAAACCACAAAACTATAATAAAATGTAACGTAAAATCCAGTGAATGCAAGGAAAAAAACAATTTTCCCCATTTTCAAAATAAATTGTGAATCAAAAAAGGACCGGCTAAAAAGAAAATCTAATATTTTTTTCACATCACACATAGTAGCTGCAGAAATAAGGCAAACCAACTCCGTGTGAAAAGAAAATCACAAAATTTACTGCAAATTGGAATTTTTCGTGTGCTAAGGAGGAGGGAAGGGTGAGCCTGGCTTGCTGCATTCTGGCCCTTGTGATGCAATGTAGGAATAAATAAAAAGGATATTTTGTTAGTTTGGTTACTTGTTTTCTTCTCCTCTTTTTTCTTTAGATAACTTAATGCAATTATGTATACGTCCTTCTAGGGCATGTGGAGAGGAATTAAATTAAAGAAATTATTTTTTGAAGGAGTTAAAATATAGGGAGATTTAAAGGAAATAATTACAAAATGGGAAGGAGGTGGCTACAATTAATTACAAATATTGAGAGAAAAATTAAAAAAAAATATAAGGCTGCTGAAGGAGAATTAAAAAAAAATTAAAAAAATATTTTATTTAAATAGGAGAAATATGAAGAATTTTTAAGGGAAGAATTACAAAATGGAAAGGAGCAGGCTATAATTAAGTTAAAAATCGAAAGAGAACTTTAAAACAATAAGGCTGGTGAAGGGCAATCAAGAAAAAATACGGGGAAAATTTTAAGGGAATAATTACTAAGGATCTGGCTATAATTTATTTAAAAATTGAAACTGAATTATTAAAAAATAAAAAAATATTAACTAGTTATAAAACACCAGTTTGATGGTAGCCACAATCCGTTTCTTATATCCCCCCAAAAATATTTAAAAAATCTTTTTCTTTTTCAAATCCAAAAGCCTTTTAGCTTATCTTTCAAATGAAGTGTTTATATTCTCATGAATCCATTTGGGCCACCAAGAAATTTGAAATTATTTTCACTTAATAAAAAAAAATTATTGATAGTGGTTTCCATTTCCCTCGCATAATTTGTTTTAAATTTGTGAATTCGAATTACAAATTTAATATTTTTACTCTTTTTTCCCCCTCAAGAAAATACCAAAAATTACTATTATCTTGGAAAAGCCCTTAAGTGAAAAATACTTGAAAATCACTTGTAATGTCAAGATATTTTCCACTTTTCTCTCAGCCATACATATTGCACTCATATATGTTGTATATTAGCAGCAACAACAACAACGGCAAAAAAATAAGATGGATGAGCTATCTACTTGCCCGGCTAGCCAAAGGTTCCATCCATACCGATGCCAATGCGGAAGATGATGACGATCAAGTGGCTTTTGCACATCGTTATTATAACAATAAGCAACACGCTTTAAAATATTAAAACTATGTTCGAATGTAGCTATACACCACCACTTCAATGTATGGCTGGGATATTCAAGTGGCCATAATCTTTATGTTCTTGTTCTTCTGCTTCAATTTTATCCAGCCAAATAAGCTCAAGTACAGAGGAATTATGTTATATTCTTGATTTTGGTTTTGTGAATGCCTATTAAAGTGTTGTTAAAGTGCTGGGATTTTTTTTCTGTGCCTTAACTCAAGAGCTAAATTTTCTTTTACAAGTACTCCATATTATTATTATTATGTAAGTTTTCAGTTTGCAGATAAGGAATATGGCTTGGAAAATCAAAACATTAATCATTTGCCAAAAGGGAAAGAATTTGGAGAGTAAAAAAACTTGAAGGAATCTTTGGGAAGAGGTGGTGGTTAATGTCAACGAAATATGGGGATTTATTTTTATTCTACAAAAAAAGAGAAAGAGAGGAGGTTGGAGAAAAAAAGAGGGAGGGAGGTATTAAAAATCATATTTTTGAATGTAATATTTTTTAAATTTTATATTTATAAATTTAATAATTTTTTCTCATACCAAAAACCTATCTTTTTTTTTTTTTTTTTTTTTTTTTTTGAATTCAAATATTTACTTTTCCAAATTTCTTCCCATCCTTGTTTTCTTAACTAACAAAGCCATGAAATTAGCCTAAGCCAACACCTTCAAAGCCATAGTTATGGTTACCACTCAAGCTTGTCATTTTTTTAATTTTTTTCCTAAGACCCCCCAAAAAATGTTTGCTGGGCCCTACACCGCCACACATCATACATCATCAACATCTCCATTATTATGTGGATGTGTGATTGTTTATCTCGCCCCAAAACCCATTATTTCACATTACAATTGTTTAGTTTTGTTTGCTTTGTTTTGTTTATTTTTTTCTCTCTCCTCCCGATCTCTGTTGTTGTTGGTGTTATTGGTATCATTATTGTTAGTTGGCTTTAAAATTAATATTTGTCATTAAAACCAGAAAACTTGGCCATATGACAAACATTGGGATGCCATTGTTTAAAACTGCTCCATATGAATGGAGCCTCACTCACATAGAGAAAGAGGGGGAAGTGAGAGGAAGTTGTGAATATTAATGCCAATGATGACAATATTTGTTGTTGTTGCTGCTATGCCTAAAGCTATTTATGGTCTATTGGAGAGTTGGTGTTTTGTTGTACAAGTAAATATGATGTTGTTGTTGGTGTTTGCATAATTTTTGGTTAATTTAAGAACAACAATGGACTCTGGGTGATTCTTTTGTTAAGGAATAGGAGGTATTGAAAGTGGGCTTACAAAACGGCTAAAATTTAGCCTGTTAAGTAGGCAAGAAGGGGGAGACATTTCAGAAAATTATTATAACATATGTTAAATTTAAAGAAATAAATAATTCATTATATGTAGTGCACACTTTTATCGTCTTAAATAAATTCGTTTAAATTTAAGATTTCAAAAATTAATGCATACTTTCAGGATCTGATTTTCTTCTGTCATATGTCTGTCACTTTGTTTTCAATGGCGTTTGCCAACACTTAATGCCTACTTTTAGGAGTCTTATTAATTTAATTGAATTTGCTTCAGAATTGTATGCATACTTTTAGGAAAATTTTTGAATGCCTATTACTTTTGCATATTAATGCATACTTTTAAGATCGGTTACTATTATTATTATTTATATTACTGTTATTATTATTATTTTTATTTTTATTTAATTATTATTATTATTATTATTATTTGTATTATTATTATAATTATTATTGTCATTATTATTATTATTAATATTATTATTATTATTATTATTATTATTATTATTATTATTATTATTATTATTATTATTATTATTATTATTATTATATTATTATTATTATTATTATTATTATTATTATTATCATTATTGTTATTATTATTATTATTATTATTATTATTATTATTATTATTATTATTATTATTATTATTATTATTATTATTGTTATTACTATTTTGTTCTCTATAGCGCTTGTCAAAGTTTAGTACCTACTTTTAGGAAGTTTGTTAATTTTATTGAAATTTCCTTCAAATTACATGCATACTTTTAGGGCACTCTTTGAGATGAAAATTAATTTCCATTTAAATTTCAGGTATAAGAAACTGATACACACTCTTGGGATCAGTTACCAAGTTTTTCTCACTTTCAGATGCCAGTGTTTGAAGTTTTATTTTAGTTTGTTCAAAATATAACCCCTACCATTATCTGAGTACTTTAATGGGTTTCGTTGAAATCGCTGCAATTTGTTTTATATTTTTTTAATCATAAAAACATCTTTTATTTTCCCAAAAATTACGACATGCATACATTCCGACAAAAATGATAAATCAATAAAAGGTCACCATAAGGTTGACAACAGCAAGCGAACAAGCAACCAAAAAGCTGATGATGATT